GAATGTTCTAAAAATAGTCTGCCAACAAATTAGTAGACAATAATCATGAAGTCTAACTTCCCTATCCTGACTCATTCGCTAGCCAAGTGATCTCAGATAATTCCCTTCACACAGTGACTGCAACCCACACAAAACGCATGTGTATATTATGACTGAGTGCATACATGCAGGCACACATTGACACTATGTATAGACTCTATTTGTTAAAACGGTATAATCTATTTTTTTAATTCTATTGCTATGTGACACCTATTAAATTGATTTAGTTGGTGGTGATCCTACAGTTTGGAATACATTCTTTTTTCCTTATTTTAATAAAAAGGAAAGAACACCATTTGCCATGCTACCTTTCTAGATAAAAAGTAGTGTAATTTTCCCAAGTGTGCTCTGTGGGCAGCCCATTGTTTTTTAGTGGCTTGGGAGGTTCTGTCCCATACTCTTTTCGAAGAAATCACTTTCATGTAGTAAAGGCTTTCAACTCCTACAGTAAAGAAGCTCGTGCCTTCCAAATTTATTTTACCACAAAGTCTTATTACTCACATACCTGTTTAGATAAGCATTTAGGGAAATGCAGGAACAAAAATTAAGTGAACTCATTTTGAAAACTATAAAACTGTGAGTATTGTTGTTATTATTGACAGTCTATCATCATCCCAGAGTGCATTTCAGACCCTAAGATTCTGTTAGAATCTGAAAGCAAGCATCCCTTGGATCATTTTCGTGCTGGGAAAGAGAGGTTCCTTCTATTCCATTTGCCTTTTCACTGATTACAGTATTGTAAGATTCCTACAGGGGCTGAAACACTGAGACATTTAATTTCAGGATGTCCCTGGCAGCTGAAAGGTTTGAAAGTTATTCAGCTTGAAAGAAACATATGTCACATGAGCAAAATATCATGGTTTTGAAAGAAATACCATTTGTGTCACTTCTGTTGGCAAATATTCCTTGGTGCTGAGGATTCAAACTGTCAAATTGCATAAAAATCTCAAATGCCAAAATGAAAGCCAAATAAGGCATGGCAACAAAGTAGAATTGTTTTAAGTTAATTAAATAGGTAATTGAGCAAATAAATTCTGCCATCAGATAAACAGCATTTCCGACACAAAATCTACTCCAGACACTGAGGAAGACTGCAAGAACCACATTGTCCCTGCTTGCAGATCCACCCTCCCCCAGCTACCAGAGCAGTCAATTCATAGCCCACAGTAGTGGCTTCCTGTTATCTCCGGATAAACATGGCATACCAAACCCTCCTTAGGACAGTCCTGCTTATTTCTTTGGCTTCAATTCTTACCTGCCCTTCTCTACCGCTCCTTTGAAATGGACACACAAAAATTGCATATATTTATCATATGCAACATGATGTTTTATTTTATTTTATATTTTTCGAGACAGTCTCTCATTCCTTTGCCCAGACTGGAGTGCAGTGGCGCAATCTCAGCCCACTGCAACTTCTGCCTCCCGGCTTCAAGCAATTCTCATGCCTCAGCCTCCTGAGTAGCTGGGATTACAGGCGCACACCACCACACCCAACTAATTTTTGTATTTTTAGTAGAGATGGGGTTTCACCATGTTGGCCAGGCTGATCTGGATGGAATTCCTGATCTCAAGTGATACACCCGCCTCAGCCTCCCAAAGTGCTGAGATTACAGGTGTGAGCCACACACCCAGCCTATGTTGTTTTAATATATGCATTAATTGTTGTAGCAACCGAAATTAAGTCTGTTAAGGCAGAAATAGTTCAACAAAGGTTTATTGGAAGCCAAGTGTGAGGACCGATCAAGGAAGACACAGCAACAAAGCTGGGTGTGTCCCAGAGTCTGCTGTGAGTTGGAAGACTTTTAAGGGAAAGTTTAGAAGAACAGAGGAGGACTCTTCATACTACAGTTGTTCTTTTCATTGGAGGTCACAATATAGAGGTTACAATCACTGGCTACAGATGATATACAGGCTACAATGTCTACATGCAAGACAATCAGTAAACTTCATGATGCAGAAACTAATCACCAAAATTTGATGATTCAGAAACAAATCAATGTCCTTTTCAGTGCCAGTAGGTTATGTATTAATCAGTACATCAACAATTTGAGGGACTCACGGTAAGATTCTTTACTCTGGGATAGGACAGGACAGGACAGGACAGGATAGGCATCGTAAGAACTCTGCCAGGCAGGTTAATTTGGAAGCCTGCCCAATGTGATCTATACGTTATCAATCAAGTGAATTAACATATATGTTAATTCACATACCAAATTTTGTGGGGAGAACACAAAATCTACTATTTACATGATTTTAAAAATACAATACATTGTTATTTACTATAGTCACCATTTTGTACCATAGGTCTCTTGAAGTTATTCCTCTTGTCTAACTGAATCTAACTGAATTTTGTATCCTTTGACATCTTTCCGATCCCTCACCCTCTCACCTGTCCCCCACTGTCTTTTTTTTTTCTTTTTTTCTTTTCTTTCTTTCTTTTTTTTAATGTAGAGACGGGGTCTTGCTTTGTCACTCAGGCTAAAATACAGTGGCGTGATCATAGCTCACTGCAGCCTTGAGTCCCTGGCCTCAAGGGATCTTCCCACCTCTGCCTCCCAAAGTGCTGGGATTACAGGCATAAGCCACCACTCCTGGCCCACTCCTTGCCCTTTGATGACCACTACTTTACTCTACTTCTCAGTTGTCACAAATGACAGGATTTCTTTCTTTCTGAAGGTTGAGCAGTATCCTGTGGTATATTCATACCACCTTTCCTTTGTCCATTCATCCGTTGATGGGCACTTAGCTTGATTCTATGTCTTAGCTATCGTGAGCAATGTTGTAATGAATGTAGGAGTACAGATATCTCTTCAACATGCTGATTTCGTTTCCTTTGAATATATACCCGGTAGTATATATCCAAATAGCCAGATCATATGGGAGTTCTATTTTCAATTTATTTCTCTCCCACTTAATGCTTCAGCAACACTGAACTGCTTTGAGCTCCTTGCACACACCACACCTGTACTAAGTCATCGAATGCCTGCCCCTATTCTTATTCTTTCTCCCCTCTTCCTCCACTCTTAACATAGTATTCTAAGGCTCATCTCCTTCAAGACACTTTCCTAGGCTTCTTGCTCCTGTCACTATGGATCTGGGTCTAATTTTCTATGTTTCCATAAATCAAGGACCTTATCTTTATCACTGAATTAACACATTGTTTGAATCATCTGTGGCTGCCTCCTCCTTTACCAAACAGTGAGTTTCCTTGGGAATGAGGAATATGTCTGGTTTATCTTTGGGTCTCCTGTAGTTGGCAGCATGTAATAGATGCTTAATAAATGTTTGAATGAAGATCCAATAAGCTCCATATGTGTGCTGGATGTTGCCAAGGACATTTTAGACACTCAGATATGCAGTAACACTTACATGTTGGGTTCTGCACAAGCAGTCACAGATAAAAGATATAACTAAGATAGTGTAACTGCCTTCTGGGTTAACATGCTTAAGACTATACAATATCCTATAATAGATGTTATGCTAGAGGTTTTATCCAAACTACTTTCAAATTCAGATGAGTGAGAGTGAATAATTCTGCCTGAGATAAATAAATCTTTACAGAGCAAGTGATAATCTAATTGAATTGGTTGGCAATAAAATAAAGTTTTAAGTGACTTTGAAGTCAGGTATACCTGGTTTTGAATCACAGTTTATCTACATGAGATTTTTAAATTTTTTAATCTATGTGATCTTGAACAAGTTACTAACCTCTCTGAGCTTCAGTGTTCTCATCTGCACAAAGGCATAGAAATCATTTTTACCTCATAAAATTGCCTTGAGTATTAAATGAGATAATACAAGTTCAGTGCAGTACCTAGTACCTAATAAGCACTCAATCACTGGCAACTATTATTTTAATGTTATAACCAGACCTTGAAGGGTAGATTATAATAAGCCAATCTGAAAAGGGGTGCGGGAAAAAATTATAGAGTGGGGTTGGGTCAGCATTGACTGAAGTATGGATGCTAGAAAACACAAGGTTTGTTCAGGAGGAAGTGACAATCAACGAAGCTGAAATTCAGTTCAATCCAATTACCTGGCAACCAAAATGGATGACATTTAACGGATGCATGGCATGGTCTGGTGGAAATGATGCTGGGTTATAAGAATAACGGGACTAATCTCCTACTTCAATCTCATTAGATAACTCCACCATTTAGTCCCACTGAGCTTCAATTTCTTCATCTGTAATAAAAGGATACTGAAACAGAACAGCGATGACTGCCCATGCCACCTGCCCCCACAACCATGGTAGCTACTACTAATACATTTATCTTTTCCATCAAGCTGGGATGGAGCATTAGTATCCTCCACAGTTTCCCAGGTAGCTATTTCCAAATGACTAAAACCTGTTTGCTATCTGTGGATTAGGTGTTTGTTAGGTTTTTTTTTTTTTTCAGACCTTCTAAATAATACCAGACTTCTTAGGTAATTGAAATATTTTGTGAGGGCCAGGGACAGTGGTTCCTGCCTGTAATCCCAGCACTTTGGGAGGCTGAGGTGGACAGATCACTTGAGGTCAAGAGTTCGAGACCAGCCTGGCCAACATGGTGAAACCCTGTCTCTACTTTAAAAAATACAAAAATTAGCTGGGCATAGTGGCATGCGCCTGTGGTTCCAGCTACATGGGAGACTGAGGCAGGAGAATTGCATGAACCCAGGAGGCAGAGGTTGCAGTGAGCTGAGCTCGCACCACTGTACTCCTGCCTGGGCTACAGAGGGAGACTCCCTCTCAAAACAAAAGAAAAACACATTTTGTGGTGTGCTGGATTATCCATATTCACATTACATTTTCTGTTGCTTTAGAGATCAAGTTTAAATCATATTTAGACCTCATATTAAAATCTAATAAGATAATGCATATGTATGTACCATAAAATTATCATGAATTCAACTAATGTTGAAAAAGCTATTTGTGTATGCTCAAAATTTAACCTGAATTGGGTTTTATTTAATTTCAGACCTGAAAATTCATCTCCAGACTACTGACTATGGTAACTTTTTGGCTAATCAAACAAATCCTCTTACTGTTTCCAAAATTGACACCGAGATGAGGAAAAGACTATGTGGAGAATTTGAGTATTTCCGGAATCATTCCCTGGAGCCCCTTAGCACATTTCTCACCTATATGACGTAAGTGACGACAGAAAGCCCCAATAAGCCCCAATGTACTTGTGCGGATGACCCCTAAGAGTACTCGTGTGGATGACCCCTAACAGTTACGGGGTTGGGGGGTATTAAGCCAGAGTGAGACTTAAGACCTTTTCCATTGTTTGTAAGTTTAAATTCATTCAAATTTTAGCAACCGATCAGCTCACAGAGCCACATTTTTGCATTAGAAAATGGATTTCATTGATTTATAAACATGACTGCATCAGTGGTGGTAGCCTCCATCTAAAGGAATATTTTCAGTTTTCATTTAATAAAAAAAAAAAAAATGTTGCCAGTGTTTAAGGTGTTAGTGCTGAAGGTAAATGTTATGTGACATTTTTAGATCACTTTTGAGGGTGGGGTTGACAATATCTCACAGTATTCATAAGGTCACATATACCATGGCTAATTCCCTTTGTAACAGTATAAGTAGCTGTTGTGAAAGTTGTATGTGTTTTATTTTTATCCATCACCCACAGTTCCAATTGTGCAACACATGAGCTCCTCATTCTAAAAAATATCTAGTGCTGGGAGCGGTGGCTCACGCCTGTAATCCCAGCATTTTGGGAGGCCGAGGCGGGTGGATCATGAGGTCAGGAGATCGAGACCAACCTGCCCAATATGGTGAAACCCCGTCTCTACTAAAAATACAAAAATTAGCCAGGTGTAGTGGCGCTCCTCTGTAGTCTGAGCTACTTGGGAGGCTGAGGCAGAATCGCTTGAAGCCGGGAGGTGGAAGTTGCAGTGAACCGATATCGTGCTGCTGTACTCCAGCCAGGGCGACAGAGTGAGATTCTATCTCAAAATAAATAAATAAATAAATAAATAATTGAACTCCCACATAATAGTAAACTGCACTTTTATGACACCAATTGATAAATCTTACTTAGTGCTGAAATGGACCATTTGAAACAGGTTTGTGCCTTTCCAGTTCTCCTAGCTGAAAAACAGAACAAAGACCCACAAATGGATGAGCTGTGTGTTATGTAGATAAAATTTAGATGTAAAGCACAAAGTTCTGAAGACTAGGTCCTAGCCGAGGTCTAGTGCCTGGCACTCAGGCATCAATATATGTGTGGAAAAAAAAAATAAAAAAAAAAAAAATGCTGGATAATACAAGCCAAAGATTAATCAAAGGGGAACAAAAGAACAGGACTTCATGTCAAACACTGCTCAGTACTAGAAAAAGGAAATTAGAGACATGTTGTATGAATAAAGGAAACTGGGCATTGGCTGTGTGAAGGCATGGCTTTGGGAGACAACCTAAGATTCTTAGAGGCAGATTCCAAGAAAATATCACAAGAGAAAGCCTGGAAAGGTAGAAGGCAGAGACTCCTGAAAGAGCAGTTTCAGCATCTGTCTGGTTGAACGATAAAATGACAGTGTTGCCTCAAGGACCAGGGAATGAAAGAATCTGCTTATCTTACCAGGCAGATACTCCCTCTATCCTTCTATTCTTTCTTTGTCCTTCCATATCTCCATCATCCATTCTTTTTTTTTCTTTTTTTTTTTTTTCCTTGAGACTGAGTCTCACTCCATCGCTCAGGCTGGAGTACACTGGCGTGATCTTGACTCACTGCAACCTCTGCCTCCAGGGTGCAAGCGATTCTCCTGCCTCAACCTCAGTTTTGGCTGGAGTGGGTGTGCCAAATGGGAAGGAGGCATGCAGGCACGTGCCACCATGCCCGGCTAATTTTGTATTTTTAGTAGAGACGGGGGTTTCACCATGTTGTCTGGGCTGGTCTCGAACTTCCAACCTCAGGTGATCCACCCGCCTCGGCCTTCCAAAGTGCTGGGATTACAGGTGTGAGCCACCATGCCCAGCCTCCATCATCCATTCTTCCACTTTACAAATAACAGTATCTCTGCCCTTGAGTCCTGCAAACAAGAGATTGGAACTAAGAATATCCAAATGTACTTGCTGAGCTGAACAAAGTTAAGTGGACCTTAATTTCTACACATGCCTTTAATTTCAGGGGAAAATATCAGTCAGCAAGATTTCTCACACTGTAGCAGATATTCCTTGGCATCTAAATATGGCAACCAGAAAATATTCCATGAAAACAGAACTGCATTCCTAGGCCTTTGGCACAAAGGAAAACCGATGCAAATTTCCTATTATTGACAGCAGGCAAGAGCAGAAGTAAAGGAAATCTCTTCTGTTTGGGATTTCACATCACATCATACAATCTGAGGATCAACTTTACTTAATGAATAATATCTTTAAGAAAAAAAGAAAAGTAATTAAGGGACATGATTGCAATCTTTAAAGAGTTCAGAAAAGCATAAAATAAAAATATCACTCTGTGTCTACATATCCCCTTCTTCCCCCACTCAGTTTCTCTCCCCAAAGTAACCACTTCTCAGTTTCTTATGTGTTATTCCAGAAAAATACTTACATGTATGTGTGTCTATTGCTATACACTCTCCCACCCATACATTTCGAATTTATACAAATGGAAACATATTCCTTCTGTACTTTTTTCCCACTTAATATTTCTTAGAAATATGCTTGCGAATGTCATTCTTTTTATTTTATTATTTATTTCTGTTTTTACAGACAGAGTCTCACTATATTGCCCAGGGTGGTCTTGAACTCCTGGGCTCAAGTCATCCCCTCACCTTGGCCTCCCAAACTGCTGGGATTATAGACGTCTGCCATGATGCCTGGAAAACATCATAATTTTTAAATAACTGCATAGAATTGACTATATGTGTCATGACTCCATTTACCAATCATCTATTGACAAGTAGCTAAATTATTTTTATTTTTTCCCATTACAAAAAATTTTGCAATTAGCTTATTTCTTCTGAGATTAGATGAGATCAGGTGCGTTCAGGGTGGTATGGCCGTAGACCAATTAGCTTATTTCCATCGAGGTCTTGAACTTATTTCTAGGCTCAGTTTTTAGCAGTGGAAGTGGTGAATCAAAGGAATGTGCGTTTTCATATTTTAGTAAATATTTCTAAGTACTCAACAAAAGTAGCACAAGTTTGAATCCCCTAAAACAGCCTGTGAAAAGTCCTGTGTCCTTACACCATTATCAACACTGGATATTTTCTTTTTAACTTTTGTCAGTCCAATAGGTTAAAAAAAATAGTATCTCTTTGCTTCAATTTATATTTCTTCATGAGTGAAATGGATCATTTCATATTTATTATTTATGTGGATTTGATACATGACCTAATTGCCTATTTTTATTAGAGTTTTCAGCAGTTTTTGATGATGTATAACAGCTCTTTGTAAATTAAGAAAGTTTTAGCCCTCATAATATATGTTGCAAAACTATTTTCTTGGTATGATATAATTTAATTTTTATGTTTGTGGGTTTTTTGTTTTTTTTGTTTTTTTGCTGTGGAAACATTGAATGCTTTAAATTAGCTATACTCATTAATGTTTTTATTCATTGGCTTCTGGGTATTTTACTGTACCGTGTTTAGAAAGGCCTTCTCCACTCCAAATTCATGAATAAATTCACTTGTCTTTTCTTCTATTTATTTGTTGTTACAGATGTTGTTTCATTTTTTTACATTTAAAACTTTGGTCCATCTTAGAATTTATTTTCATGTAAAGAATTAGACTACAGATCTAGCTGAAATGGTTTTTCCCAAATAGCTCTCCATTTCTATAAGTAAGTAATTAGAAGAAATAACTATAGGTCAGGTAAGGAAGGAATTGTGGATATACCTGAGACATGGCGTTAGTGCCAATGTTTCTTGTTTGCCCTTCTCAGTCCTCCTATCAGGGCTATGGGTTAGGATAATTCCTTCCATATTACTTACAGGCAAGACACAGATGCTGATGTTTTCAAAGAATTCACAAATTTCAAAGAATTCACAAAAGCTAGTCAGGGGTAGAGATTAGATATGAACTTACATAGGACTCAGTTCCGCGATTCTGGAAAGCCTTCCAGAAGGGCTGATGTTGCTGAGCCTGGAAACAGTGTAGAATTTGACAAACGGGAGAAGCCTCAGCATCCGGGGCTGAAACATGTAGATGGGAAGGTTGTTCCATGCGTGAGGAACAGTTCAGTTTTGGCTGGAGTGTGTGTGCCAAATGGGAAGGAGGAAGTGGGGAAAGGAGGCTGGAGATGCAAACTCCAGTCACGTTACAGAAAGTCTTTGATGCCAGGCTAAGGAAGTTGAGCTTTATCACATCATAGTGTTTCGTTTCTTTTCTTTCTTTCTTTCTTTCTTACACTTGTCCAGGAATCTCCAAGTCTCAGACAAACTTACAGACATGTGAGATGACAGTAGTTGTACAAGACTCTTTTATGGTATAGTTTGTTGTTGTTGTTGCTGAGATGGAGTCTTGCCATGTCACCTCTGGCTGGAGTGTAATGGCTAACTGCCTACCGCAACCTTGCCTCCTGGGTTCAAGTGATTCTTGTGCCTCTGCCTTCTGAGTAGCTGGGACTACAGGCATGTACCACCATGCCTGGCTAATTTTGTATTTTTAGTAGAGATGAGGTCTCATTGGCCATGGCAGGTCTCAAACTCCTAACCTCAAGATCCACCCACCTCAGCCTCCCAAAGTGCTGATTACAGGCATGACTCACGCGGCTGATCTTTATGTGGCAGTAGTTTGGAATAGCAACCATGGCCAAATCAAGTGTCCTCTGCAGGAATAAGTTTTCATTCTTTTTTCAATTTATTTTAGTAGAGATAGGAGTTCCTATGTTGCCTAGGCTACTTCCTTTAACTCCTGGGCTCAAGCAACTTCTCCCACCTTGGCCTTCCAACATGCTGGGATTATAGGCCTGAGCTACCACAACCAGCCAGGAATAAGTTATAAGTTTTGAACATTCACATAATGGAATATTCTATATAAAAGGAAAAATACATGAGGAAGCAGTCTAAATGAGATATATGGAAAAGATTACTAAGATAGCATTAAGTCAGAAAAGCAAGGGGGAAGAACCAGGTGTGGCATGGCACTCTTTAGTAAAGGGGGATAAATTTTAAAAATATACTATATGACT